GATACATTAATTTTTCAGCTGAAGTCCTAGGCTTTAAATATGCTCTAAGTATTTTGTTTTTTTTTTACTTTACTATCAGCCAAAACTAGGCTATTTGATTACATTAATAACTTTCTAAATCCTTCTATACAGAAACTCTCATAGCTTAAAAGTGATTTTGTATTTTCTTTAAATGTCAAACTGTGATTTCTTAAACTGTTTAATCAGGTTTTAATCTAGCTCTTTTAGTTCCTTAGGCAGCCTGGCAGTGCTGAAACTGGAATTAAGAATCAAAGAATAATTAAAGCTAGCACTGATTTTGCGAAAAGTCTGCATCCCATCAGATCAGATTTCTCAGGGCTTTATTCTGCCTAGTCTTGAAAACCCTGAAGGAGGGAGATATCACAACCTGTGTTCTCTCTCAACTGCTTTATTTTCTTCATTGTGGAAAAAAATTAATTATGTTAAGCCAGAAAAGAAGCTAATTTTCTGTTAATTTCAGCGACATTTTCTGTTGTTTGACCATCTTCTCATTTCAATCTGTGGATCTGATGAAGGAATAATGTGGTGATGTTCTATGGCCTGTGTTATGCTGGAGTTCCAATTAGAATAAGTGACATAATGCCCTGTGGCCTTAAATTTCTGTGTATTTCTTACAACAGAAAAAACCTCAGCATTCCATTCACTGAAAATCCAAACAAGACGTAATTATTCTCATTTAAAGGCTACAATGAGTATAGGAAAAAAACTAAAGCAAACGGATTTATCATGTTTGGGAATCAAGATTTAAAGGGAGCACAGAAGAACAGAGCTACTTTCTTTCTTAGCTCCTTTTTTGACATTGCCAAAACTCATATGGTGAAAGCTGACAATTACAGTTCAACAAACACTCCATCTGTTCCAAGGATTCACTGCTTTCCACTCCAAATTATTTCTTCAGACTATTTACCAAAATCTGAGAAATAGATTCTTTGAAAAGTTAAATAGTGAGACTACTAGGTGCCCTATACAGCAACTTTTACCACAGAATTTACTCTAAAGCTAAATAAACCACAAGAACATCACAAAAAATCACGTTGAGGGTGGATAGCTTCACTGTAGTGGCTGAGCAGGAACACAGACTCTCCTCTGTAACCTCCTTCTCACTCACTGAGGAGTGAGACAGATCTCTAAGTGGTTACCTATAGAGCTTGTTTCCAGAGCTGTCAGCCTCTTAAATGTCTTAAACCCACTTAAATAGATAAATATTTTTTTTATAATGGAAATTATAACAAGAACATAATCATGTCTGCAATCCTCTACAGATTGTGAGGTTGTTTTACAAAAACAGTTATTATAACAGTTATACACAATTATTGACTGTTCTTCTATTTCCATACAACCAGCTCCCTGTAAGTGGGAGAGTGGTTGAGGGAAGAGGCTCTTTACCAGAAAATGAATAAACCAGAAAGACAGGGGAAAGCAGAGAGGGAATACCAGACTACAGGTTGACTGGTAAGAGGCCAGAGACCATTGTGCCAGTATCAACACAGACAAGGTTAAATATAGTATTTCTAACAATATATAACTTAATTGCATTCATGTTTGTTTGGTTGTTTGGGGTTTTTTTCCCTTTTAAACCACAGAGGAACACCAACACCACAAAATGAAGATCCCACTAAACCTGGCTATCCCTACTCTGAAATTATATTCCTTGAAACTAGCTCCTCAGTGAAAGCTGCACTTAATCACAGCTCTTGAAATCCTTCTTTAGATAGTTTGAATGAGGTACGGCAAATGAAGGAGGAAGAGATTAACAGGATTAAGCTGAGAAGAGTGTGTTCAGTGTTTCTGTGAACAGGTCTTATTTATCCAACTCTGGATCTCCTCATCGAACTTACTTGCTAATGGTAAAGTCAGCCCAAATACCATCCACTGGACATGTTTTGGTTTTTTTTTGTTTGTTTGTTGTTTTTTTATCCCCAGAACACCTATCTTTAGACTAGAAAGATTCAAAGCAATGAATGAATTTCTAAGTTTCATCCACTTAACACTTTAAAGCTGTTGTCCTATTAGTAAGGTCATACATAGGGCTGTTTTGTTTTCTGAGTATATCATCTTTCAAGATTTATTTCAGTTCCTTTGAAGAATGAACAATTGTCATATTTGTTGTCATTAATTTATATGAATGAAAATAGAGATTTTAATTAGTACTATGCCTATGGTGAATCTAACCAAAGGCTGCTGCAGAACAGGTAGGAATAAACAGTACCTAGCACAGCAACAAAGGTTCCCTCTCTGATCACTTGTGAGATGCAGAACAGGTAACAATATATATGTTCAGTGACTGCATTTCATTCAACAGCTTTATGAGCAGTACTCAGATAGTACGAGGTAGTATCACATCCAAATATGTGACTGATGTGAAAATCAGTCAAAAGGATTCTTTTGAAAGGCAACTGACCCCAGGAACAGATCCCTAAGTAGGGACTTGCTCACCTAAGATACTCAGAACACCAAATTCAACACAGCATATATCTGTTCCTGAACTGCAAGATCAAAAGCCTCCTGAACAATTTTATCAACAATTTCATACAAAAAGTGGTAAATAGAAAAGACAATGAAAAGCATGTGTGGGCCAGCATACTTTATCTGCAACAAAGGTTGAAGAGGAGGCAAGAAAGGAATAGGTGCACAAGTCCTGTTCTAATAATGCTCAAAAGGTATCTATAGCATCTCTTTATGGGACTGTCCAATCATCTCTTATGTAATATGAATACGGCACAGTCCAACACAAGTAGACTTGTCCCTTTCCTTTTCCTGTCAATTCAGAGTGAGACAAAGGTTTCGTGAACAATGAGCTTTGACTCATTGACTTTGTTTTGGCTTTTATCAGAGTCCAGCATTTTAGAGACCAGATGTCTTTCCCTTTCTGCAGTTTCTTCATGTTTGATTTAATTGACAACAACAGAATATGCTGGGAGGAGAAGTAGACTGAGAGTATTTACTGATTTCATTCTTAGCTTACAATAGGCTAACCATCAGGATATAAGTTCCTTCACAAGTGTCTTATTACAAATACAATGGGGGAGCATCTAGGGCTGAATGCTTGTGTGTTAGGGATTATTAGTTGGTTCAGTAAAACCCATCAGCACACTATTGTGCTACCTGCTCCCCATATCTGCTGACAGAAAACACTTTCTTCATATGCAAACCACAAGAAAACAGAACAATATTGAAATACTCCATGGGAACTGACAATAGTCAAAAAAGAGATTTTTTAGGCTTCAGGCATTAGCTTGAGCCTTTGTGAAATTAAGTCACACAAGGCTCTCACTCTGGCCTGAGAAATCATAAGGAGGAATCCAAACAGTCCTTGGAGAAGGAAAACAACCTCTGCAGGTGTTGTTTTGATCTTTGTTTAATTGCAAGAAACAGTCAAGGGGTGGTGTTCCCAATTGTCCAATGATAGTGATGTGTTAGTTTAATAACCAATGAAAGTTTCACCTTTTGGACCTTCTCAGGACGGTCCATAAAAGAAGATCAGGAAGAATAAAACTTGCTCTCTTTTGCAACCACGACAGGAGAGTCTGTGTCATACTTCTGCCATTCCTAATACTGTACAACAATACTCCATGGCAGAAACTTGGTATAATAAAACCCTGCAGAAATACCAGTGTAAGAAAAATCACCTTTCTCTCTGCACCTTCAACCAATCATCAACTCCAAAAATCATTTACCCTGAAGAAACAAAAAGCAGCCAATGCTTGAGGAATCAGACCCATTTTTCACTACACAAAATATATCACACTGCTTCCTCTGATATCCTCCTTCTTCTTGCCATATTATCAAAGTCCTGATTAAAAATGTAGTTAATGCATCCTTTCTACATATTAGAGTAGAACAGAAAAGTCATGGAAACTATTAAACAAAACACAGATTTGTCCAGATAAATAGCCATCAAGTCCGAGAGTAAGGTATTTCAAAGGTCTGGAAACACTGATAGACACAGCCTCCATCTACCAATTAATCGCAGGTCCTAATTGCCTATAAAATATATTTAATATTTAAATAATAAATAATTTATTAATTAATAATAAATTAATAAATAATTTATTTAAAAATAAATGCCTATAAAATATCCAAAATATTGGGCTGTCCAAAATATTGGGCTGAACTAATCTAAACGTATGGCATTTTTCTTGTTTGTTACTTATCTGGGCCAACTAATTTACAACTTACATTTCTTACAGCAAGCTCACAGCTTTTCCATTTGAAGGCAGTAAATCAGGACCCATTAATTAAAACTGCTTAAAATCATGCAAGTACATGACATTTCAAAAGTATAACTTTTTTGTTGTTGCATGCAGTCACAGCTGAATATTTATGCTGTCTACACTGCACAATGCACTCTTCCACTTTCAGCAAGGATACTTCAACCTGCTTGTACCACTTTTCAGAGAGAATATTATAAAAGGAAATTTGTGAAGCTGTTAACAACTCTCTCATCTGGGCTGTCTGCTTAAATAACAGCAATTCTTATTAGTTATATGTAGTACTGAAAACAATACTTTGGAGAATAATTCACTTCACAACTTCTGAGTTTTGGATGAGAAATCAAGAGAAGGTGGGAGGGCTAAGCTCACTGCATTCCCGACTCTCCACTGTCTTGAACATAAATGTACACACTAGGAGAGCAGTGACTAGTTTTGCTTTCCATCCATTTTGTATCTGTCTAAGTAGCTGGACAAAGTGTGAAGTCATACAAATTTGATTAGCTTTCAAGAAGGTAATAATGCAATGCTGATCACTCTCTGCGATTAACCTGAGGAGCTCATCAGGGACAAACATTTAAGGCTAACAAACTCTAACATACCAAGCAACCACAGTTAATATTTCATACACTGCATACTATTTCTGATCCCTCCTCCTCCCCACCTGTTGTTCAACAGCTTTAATGTCCTTAAATATGTGGGAAGAGAACACACCTACTCCAAGAATGAAAGGCAATTTATGCTTTATGACTTCTTCCTTACACTTACCTACACTTGTAGGAAATATATCCTCATTGTTGATTTGCACCTCGATCCAGTCCATGAGAAGATTCATATATTGGGGTGCTGGCAATGCTGTGGGCTTCTTGTACCTCAAGTCATCCTGCCACCGGTACTCATACTTGGGGCCTCCAGACATCACTGGGCAGGTCCTCTCCGTGCAGAACTCACAGATAGTTTCATAAATGAGGTTGATCCTGTTGAAGAAGTCAACAACATGAACAGCCACCCAGTCATTCTGGTCTTCACCACTGGGCAACTGCACAGCTGCTTTCAAGTCCACGCCTGAGTTGAGAGATGCTTGCGCTCGTTTGTGAAGTTCAAACCTCTGGGTTCCAGGTTCAAACTTGCGTTTTGGGCGGAAAGTCTTATCTTTATTAAAGACTTGCTTGAGTGCTATGGACATGTCTGCTAATCTTCTGCACTGAAGTAGCTGGCAGGAAAGCACGTCTGAGATTTAATGCAAGTATCTGAAGACAGCTGCTCTCTATCACAGGCTTTCCAGGCCCTGCTCTTTTTCCCAGAGAAGCTTGTATCAACTTCAGAGCAATTTATTAGCTCTTCCTCTTGAAAGCCTCCCTGAGAGTTTCATTTCCCTAAGGATATAGAAATGATACACATCAATGGCAAGCTCAAGTCTGGTCTTGTCAGTTTGCTACTGTTTTACCAGAATTTTCTAGCAATTACAACAGGAAAAATAATATATAACAAGCAAGCCTTAAAAACTGCCCAACCCCTAATTTGAAGATTTAATTTTTTTTAAGTGTCTCATTTTTTGAAGTATTAGGGAATTAACTTCTCTGTTCTTTTTAAATATCTACCCAAATAGAAGCTTTTAAAGATGAAAATTCAATACATCTTGTATGATCTTCAAATTTAAAACCAACTTTTTCACGTTACTACATTTTTATAATCACTGCCTAACATTCAAAATGTGCATATAAGTTCAGTAGAAAAAATACTATGTGACAATTTAGAATCTTGATCTAACTGCTCCTAGAGCTACCAACGGGGCATCTAAGTATTTTTATAGCTTCAGTGCTCATCTCTGTGGGAAAAAAATTAATCAGCAAGAAAAACTTATCCATATCTGTTCTCTGTTTTAAATTATTGAGGTATTTGCTTTTGCAAACCACATAGAACCTAGTAAGAAGGACAACTATAGTATTGCGCAGAAATAATTCCTGTTTCCCACAAAACTGTATAGAGATTACTACTTTTATTGACTCACCTTCAGAAATTAGTGGACTTAGATTTCTGTTGGATTGTGTGGAACTATTAGCAATCGTGAAGCCACTTTTTTATAACTTTATTCATCTTCTTTGCAGGGGAATACTTGGTACTGTTCTTACAAAAGCAAGAGCACAGACTTTGTGTTGTTCCATCTAACCTAAGCTGGCAATTGAATGGTTTCAACAGAGAGCCTGACTGAACAAATAAATTACTGCATTAGAGCTTTATTTGCTCTTATATATACTTATACATGAAAAATAGTATATTATCATTAAATATATACACTTAGGAGAGACAGGATAGATAGACAGACAGACAGATAGATAGATAGATAGATAGATAGACAGATAGATAGATGCTGTTTCAAATAAACTTTTGTTTCAGTACTGAAGATTTTATTAACAATTTTAGAGAGTAAACATTTCATTCTGTGCAATATTTAAAATAAATTAATTAAATCAAAAAATCCTCTTCCAAATATGTGAAAGACTAGCATGCAAGCTAATTTGCTGTCAAGCAGCAGTCACACAGAATCAGCTGAGAAGTGCTTGCTTCAACTTTTCCTGATGGCATGATAGAGGAATATTCCAATCATGACCTCATAAACAGTCATTTTTTTTCTGTATCTGCAAATCCAAGAAATTTTGGAATGAACTCCAGTGAGATTATTGTCATATCTGACATGTCCCTTGAGTAATATTCAAAGACAGAGATACTGAATATTCCAGTCCAGAAATTCTTTCCCTGACAAAGGTCAAGGAAAGAAGATTTTAAACAAAAGTAGCCTTAGAACAGTTAAGTGTCATTGGCAGGAAATGAAGGTACTTTTAAATAGTCAACTTTGCCCTACAATTTGTTGTTTAAAACTTCCAGCTCTCAAATACTCTGTGGCAGCCATCTGTATTTGTTTATTTAAAAGCCCTTAAAAATATAGGTGTGTAGTGCTGCATAGACTGAGCCTGTGACTGACGCACTTGGAGATGGCAGGGAGCCAGTGTCCCAGTTTGCAATAATAAGCAGGTTAAGTCCAGAATTTTACAGCTCAGGTAACTTCCCCACATTAATATACCTGGTGTTCTTCTGTAGTTTGACTCCATCACCTGCAAATACTCACCAGAACATGCAAGAAGTTTTATTTAAAACAACAAGCTGAGCAGCAAATAAAACTCATCTTCAAAAGAGACATTTTGAAGCACAGTACTCACTGCAATTAAAGCTCCTTCAAGAAAAACAGAACATACTGTATTTTGTAAGCTGTTTTCTACTAAATACGCAAGCATAATTAGTCACATTAAATAATGTTTCCCACTCCTTTCCATATATTCAGGAAATCTGCATAAAATCAATTAATTCAGAGAAAATTCAATCAAAACATCCAGCAAACAACACATCATCTCAAGTCTTATGTTGATGTTGAAAGTCTCTGTGGAAGCACACACAAATTCTGCTTAAATTCACCTCAAAGACTCATCCAAAAGATTACTCTACTGTGCCGCTAGATTAAATTATTTAACTCACCAGGGCAGAATCAGAACAAGCAAGAATTTCCTATATATATTTTGGGTCTGGAAAATCTTCTGTTCAGTATCCTGCAATAAAAGGATGTGCAATGCTAGGGGATGAAGACTTGCCTTCTCATGTATTCTCACAATTAAGAATGAAAAATAGAAAATTCTAAGACCTGACCTTCAAGAAAATACTAGAGTGAATCAACCCTTTGAAATTCTTTTTTTGCATCCTGGTTTTTCATGGTATTTGCTATCTACTTAACCATTGTCTTTACTCAAAATTAGCAGAAATTAACAAAGAAGTAAGAATTTAGGCTTTGTCTAAACATTTACAAACAACATCACTACTACCTCCTTGGAATAAAGAAGCTTTCCCTTTACTCACAGGAGACAAAGGAACATACCTTATTTTCAGTAGAGATCAAACACAGACATTTTAGGTTTGGATCCTTGAGGCTGACGCTAATGGGAGAACTCTAGCCAAAGTTGTTGGGCTCTATGAGCATCTTTTCTGCTTAGGTAATAAAGTGGCAGGTGTTAATGGTAGTAGGTAGTAGGTAATAGTGGCCACTCCTTTGCTTAGGCCTGAATCACTAATCCCTTGCAGGAACTCAATTGCCTTTAGACTTCCAACTTCCTGTACTGTGTTTAAATCAACAATCATGACAACAGTTTTTTCATTCATCACAAATCACATACTGTCATTTAAAACCTTGCATGGGGGAACTTAAAAATCAAAGCTATTGCTTTAAAATTGCATAACATTAGCAAAATGAAAACTCATCAGATAGCTTCAACAACAAATGATAAACAAAATCTCACCATTTTTAAAGCACTGAGAATGTAATTTGCCTTGCCAGTCATCACATTTGCTTCTATGACAGTTTACACCTTACAAGCATGAAAAGTGCTTTGAGTTTCATTATCTCAATTGGTCTTGGGAGAATTGCTTCAGAGCTGAAACACTGTGGGCAATGTAGTATGGATCAGACTAAGTCATAACTCCTTGAAATCTGTGGTACAGTAGCACCCACCTTCATTCCATATAAAACTAAATTTGTCTTTTGATAAGAGATACCTTGTAGTTTACAGTTATAGTAATGCTAGCAGAACTGCTCCTGTCTTACACTTGTGTCAAAAGTGATAAAAACTGCCTTCTAATTTTTTATGACAGGTTCTGACTATACATAAAGGTATAAAGAATAATATTATCACTCATGGCATTTGGCTTAATGCAGTGTCCTGCACGTCCCTCTGAACTAATGACTGTTCTGGTATGGACAGCTCAGAGAGGTAATTCCTCCCAATGACTCAGTTTCTCTTCTTTCTTTCTAAGAACAATGTATTTCTGGGACAGTAACCAAAATCTTTTCCTGATGGACTATTCCACAGCACATATAATGCAGCTGGGTGAATTCCCTTACTGGAAGAGCCATGCAGAGAATGGTAACCACAGACGTGGAAATGATCTCAGGACAACCAGACCTCATAAGCTTCATCCATGGCATCAGCACCACAGTGACCAACACTGTCTTCCAGTTTGTGCACAGAGAGAGATAAAAACTTGGCCTAAAATCAGGTGTATCAACATATGGAAATAATAAACCAATCCTACCCATGAAGATACCATTAAAAAAACCCACAACAAACAACACATCATGACCAGCATCCTATCAGAGTCACTGCTGAGTTAAAAGCATACTCTATCATTTCCCCATGCATTTTCTACTAAATCACAGGTAACTAGAATGTTAAATGACACACTGTTTATAGACACGTACCTTTCATCATGATATTCTAAGGAGAGTTACACAAGCTTTAGAGGTCTGCTGGGAAGGTAGCTGATATAAATCCTGTTTTATTAAACCAGGCGGTGAGGAAACATGACTTCCCCAACAAAAAACACACACAGACATGTCTATCCAGCGATACACAATATGAACACCATCTGCATCAACTGACTTCTAAATTTCTATATTTTCTTTTTAAAATCTCTGTTCCTCATTCTTTCAGGAATGATACTGAGTGGTTGAGTGGCAATATCATTTCCTCTAAGGCTGATGGGATTACTTTATGCTAGTAACTACAATAACGACGCTGCAGACTCAAGACACTCAGGTGGATTAGAAAAATGCCTTCTCACAGTCAGAAACACTCCTGACAAATAACATTATCCATTCATTTGACATGCAATAACTACCCTTTGCTTTGTCTGGGCATGGGAAAAAAAAAAGAGCAAGTGATTTTTGCAAGACTAACAAAAACCCACAATTGTAAATAATCACAGGAATCAGCATAGTGTTTCTGTAATCAAAGTGTTAAGGCCCAATGGAGCAAATGTAAATAACCTTTGATACTTTTCTAATGTAAAAGACTGGAAAGGCTAAGCTAGATACAATAGATAGCTGTCTTTAAAACTGTGTGCTTTAAAAATATCCTACAAAAATAGTGTGCAGCTATGTAACAAGAGATAAACAGTTGCTAAATTGGATCAGCCTAAAATAAATAATTTATGATTCTGCAAAAATACTGAGGTTTTCATAGGGATAAAATTGAAGATTATTACTTGGCTAAGGAACACAATCACTGCCATGATTGAGTAGGAATGGCTTGGATTAGGGCACAATACATGACATTTTTAGTAATTTTTAGACTAATGCCCTTAACCATAGCATCATATTTCCCATGAGCATGTTAGGTCATGTTAGGTAGAGCTATTGCATTTATGTAAGTTCCTTTCTATACAAATGGAAAAGCCCGCCTTTCCTTTCACTCAAATTGGTTGCACAAAACAATTAGAAGTTGACTTAAACAGCAATAATTTCTGTGATGAAGTGCATCAGCTGTTCAACAGCAGCAGAATCAGGTATGAGTGCTCAAATCTTTGATGGTAATTGCTGTTCAATAATGCAAATTGAAGCATGTATTTTCTCAATGGGGATAAATGTCTATGTTTTAACAGAAGACTTTCTGCTCAACTAGCACCATTCTAGTGCCTTTTACAGATCTTAAATCCAATTACATCTCCTCTGAAATTCTGCAAGACTACACTGATCACCACAAAGGTACCAAAAGTACCCTGACACTTACTCACTACAAGCTTATATTGGTTACAGACTCCATGGCATTCTAGTTAGGAATGTGGACTTATAATTTAAGGTAAACTGTAATAAGTATCTCTTAGAACTACAGCAAAGAAACTACAAAAAATAAATAACTTAGATTACACTGAAATTCCTATTATCCAGGAATATGAGGTCTTGACTCATTATAGACTCATAGTCATGCAGGGGTATTTACGGCTACATATTTTTTTCTGAAAAGTCAGTTCCTCTTCTCTCCTTTCATATTCCTACCTTCTTGACATCTCCCCTGTGATACCTGGCCCAGGCATTCATACATCCCCTTGCAGGTAGCTGTATGAGACTCACACATAAACTGTAATAATTAAAAAAAAAAAGGATTTTTCATCCCAATTAACTTCTTTGATCCCATTTGGTCACACAGGACAGGGAAAAGTACAACATGAGAAAAGATGTATGGAAGGCAGAGGATGAGACAGATGGACTAAAACCCCATGGGAGTGGTTATTTAGCCACAGCCACTTAAGTGAATTACAGTGTTTGCCATGACAATTTCAGACCTCCCAAACTTTCAAGTAGATTGGGAACTCCCTCCTATTAGTTCCCTTTAGTTCAGGCTACTAACAGAGTGACAGATCACAGTGGAGCAGGCAGTTCTGCCATTCCCTTTGAATGCTGGTTTTTTTCATTGCACACAGGTTTTTCCAGCTCTCTCTCTGGTTCACAGGCTTTTTTACTGGTCTGAGCTGTTGGTAGCATATGTGCAAGCACTGTAAATCCTGCACCACTAATCCTGAATCACTAAACCACATTCTCTAACTACAGAACCAGCTTCTGCTCTCAGTTATCAAGCCCCTGTTACCTGCTACATCCTTCCACCACCAATAAAGCAAAGCCTTTACAGCTGCATGTGCTTTGTATGCAGCTGACCATACTGTTGGACTTGGTGGGTCAGCTTACTAACTGCCTTATGAAGACCAATAGAGCCAGCTCACCCTGCTTCAGCCAAAATCTCTCAGTCTCTGTGGACAGAGACAACATGTCTTCATGACAACAGTGGATGATTTTTAGGCTTTTGTAGTATGCATATTGCAGCATTTTCTGCAACAGAGACCAGTTATCCTTCATTCCTTCAAAATCAATATACTAAGATCAGGTGAAAGAAGTAAAAGCATTTTAATAGCCTTGAAGAAAAAGAGAACACAGACTAAATTACAGTTTGATTCTCTATTATAACATTTGTTTCCCCCAGATTGCTTAATTCCTGATCCCAAGCCATTTCTGATGATGAAACATTGACTAATATGCATTCAGTGCGAGCTATGATAATGAATTCAGAAAACAGAGCTAAAATTTTACTGTTACACTCTGAAAACTCTCCTTTACGAAACAATAAGATGTCCTTATCAAACCGTGGTTTGATATCTGTTCTGTTCAGCTTAAATCCTAAACCTACATTACAACTGAGTAAACTTTGAGAGAGTTAAAATATTATATCCTGCCCTCTCCGACACTATCAGATCATCCACACAATTCCCATATGAAAGCCTTAAACCGAGTCCACTCAATTCCACTGAAAAAAATGCTAGTTAGCTCATATGAGCTATAGGGAGCAGAAAAATGCACACACACAAAAATGTCATCTGAGACCTCATGTCAGAGCCTTTCTGTACAAGGCCTATCTGCTAGAAGCCAGCAGTTTATGTGCCCTAGAACTTCAGATACCCTAGTTTGCATGCCCTGGCCAAACTCAAGTTTTATTTTTGGACTAAATCTTAGCTTTAGGAAACCACGTATGTGTTCTACTTTATGAAAAATGTCTCATTCATATATTCCGTCTCAGTGACATTTCAAAAGCCACTCATTTTCTTGTCCAAACAAAGCATGCAAAAAACCAGGGATACCATGGCAGAGTCAAGTTACAAACATTATGCTGGCAGAGACAAATAGCTAACACTCCATGGTGAAAAGAGCACTTCCCACAAGCAAACACACTGAAAACAAGATGTAAAAACTTCAGCTGACACCCATTCAGACCCATTAGCCTTAGTCTGGCTTTTCCCCCCAAAGCTCAGGTTAATGTGGCAGGATGGACAGTAGAGACAAACTGTTGGTGACACAGCACCTTCAGCAACTGTCCTAAGAAATTCATTATATCAGAGGTATTTTCTGAAGTAAAGATCTTCAAGGAGGCTATGACATCCTTACTTAAACTGCACCCTTTCTTAAACACTGATAAATCTGAACATGAACATGATGACTTTCAGTTACAAAAAATTACCCTTAATTCCATGTTGCTAAGAAACAAAACTCACCTAAAATTATGTGGGAGTCAGTGCAGCCCCTCAAATAACTAAAAAATGATAATTTACTTGTGAATATCTTCCAATTAGTTTTACCATAAATCTGTAATCTTTTCCTGAAATGGACCTCCAGCAGCTATAGGACTCATTAACTCATTAACTTTAAAACACAGCTCTGCATGAGTACCAGAAAAGCTAAGTGTATGAAATAACAGCAGAAGTCTACTTTCCATAGTTTGGATCAAAGTGCCCAATATGGCAATACACAGAGTAGCAGCAACTACAGCTGATTATAACAAAATCACCTGAGTAGGATGTGACCCATCAGGATCATCAAGTCCAGCTCCTGGCTCTGTACATGACATGCCCAATAGTCCTAGCATGACCCTGAGAGTACTGTGTAAACATTTCTTGAGCTCTGTCAGGCCTGGTGCTGTGATCAGCACCCCATTCCAGTGCCCAGCCGCTGTCTGGGGGAAGAACCTTTTCGTGACATCCAACCTAAACCTGCCACAACATAAGTTCAGACCATTCCCTCAGGTCCTGTCACAGGTCACTCCAGAGAATCAGTGCTGCCCCTCCTCTTCCCCTCACAAGGAAGCTGTAACTGCAGTGAGGTCCCCCCTCAGTCTTCTCCAGGATGAACAGACCAAGTGACCTCAGCCACTCCTCATATGGCTTTACCTCAAGGCCCTTCACCATCCTCATGCCCTCCTTTGGACACTCTCTAAAAGCTCAATGTCTTTCTTGTACTGTGACACTCAAACCTGTCCCCAGAACTTGAGGTGAGGCAGCCTCAGGGCAGAGCAGAGTGGGACAATCCCCTCCCTTGCCCAGCTGTGGTGCTGCGCCTGATGCACACCAGGATGGACATTTTAAAATTTATATCAAAGCGACAAGGGCAAGATATTTGTACAGATATTTTTTGATGAAGATATCACAGATTTATGATTTCACAGTTTATAGGTTGAGGGCATGGTGTAGTCAGAGCCTGCAATTTGGCATGTGACACGATGATTCAGCAGCATGCAGTCACATGGCATAGCCTCTGCAAGTGGTGGTGAGTTCATAACTGTGTAGTTGTGAGATTTATGCTTTCAAAATTCAAAGAAATAAATCATCCACAGTGTTGATTTCTACATCAGTCTTAACTTGCAGGACCGAACTGAATTGACGGCTGGAGAAATTTTTTTTTTTTTTTTCTGGAGAATAATTCTGATCCCCACCATGTAAACTTCAGCATGTTCAAACTTAATATTTGGGCAAAAAGACCTACATAGGGCAAAAAAAAAGAGAATTTGCTATATGGAAACAATACCTGGGGTGGAGCAACCATCCACACTCCAGAGCTCTAAATCAGCCATTTTGAAAGACTCACTTGGAGGAAAAAACCTGTTTTCCTTGCCATCTGTGAAACCTGAAATATGAAAGCAAGTAAAGGAAGTCAGAAACATCATATATCAAAAAACAGTATTAGAAAGAACACTTAAGCATTATATCTACCTCTTCTGCAGAATGCCAGACCCCTCTCCAATGACAATACAACTAACTGCTGCTGTAACAAGGCTTTAACAGGGGAGAGTTTAGGATAGCAAAAATGTGCTGCCCTTTAATGCAGTTTAGCATTGGTGACTAGCCAGCATTGTATTGACTGCATAGCTCTGCACAGGCTATAAAGTAACAGCACTAGAGGAGCAATGCCATAACAGTATGCTCTAGTGAACAACTGTGGAATTGCCTTGCTCCCCCTACACACTGAAAAGTAACTTCCCAGTTTATGACTCTGCTTTACCCTTCTAGTGAACAAAACTATTTTGAAAGCCTTTTCTGTATCCGCTTAACCCATGGTGTGTTCAGAGGGAATTTAACAAAGCAAACAAAACTAATCACAAACTGATATGAAACAAGGGTTTGGGTAGTTTTTTCTATATAAATTTTATCCATGTAGTAAAGCGCTTCATACACAGAAGTACAGTATTTGATTACTCTTTACTGCTTGTGGTCAGAGCAATTCTCACACAGTATGAGCTCTCCTTCTAACCGTACACACAAAAAATTTACTGTAACAGAGTTATAGCACCAAGCTCTTAAAAGGTATAAATCGAGGAAAGCTACCTTCACTGCAATTTAAGGATCTTGCTTTTCAAACCAAGTTGTCCACAGCTGCGGCCAATAAATATCCAATACTACAAAAAAAGGAACAAAACTCATTATTCATATAGCATATGGACATAACCAGCAAGAAGGGTCGAGTTCTTTCTCCTATGACCACAGCAAGCAGTTTACGCTGAAGCAAAATAAATGAGTGCTCCTTGAGTGTGTGGCCACAGGGAAAGCATAGCTGACAAGCTCTGGAAGGTGCCATCTGCATTGCACTACACTGGCTCCCCACAGCCTGGCAGCGCTCAGTTTAGCTCTAAACAAAAGTCAATTGCTGATTTTTACCAAAAATTGACTGTAAAAGTGGCACAGTTTGAGTGCAGGAGTTGTCAGGTGATTAAGCTTCCTCCTACAGAACTCATTTATGCAGCATGTTTCCCACACTATATCCCCAACAATTTCTGACCCAGAAAAAGGAAAGCCTGGTAGCTTCTTGTTTCTACTTGTACATTTGTGTGCAGCACATGCTGTGACTCAACAGGAAGGTCTTTGTCTCAGATCCCAATCAGAGAACACCATTACAAACTTTTATTTGCTGCTCTAATTTAAAGGTCACTGGGGGGTTCTGTGGTGATGTTTTCTCAGGAACCCTTGAAACCTTAACACCACTTTCCACCATATTTCACCCCCTGGCTTCACAGAAGAATTTTAGTGGGAACTGTTAAAAGCATTGAAATCTTAGCACTTTCCAAGACAGAGCACATGCTGGGAAAATATACTGCAGGACACACTATCTTATCAAAGTCTCATCCAAAACAAAAGGTGGTTACTGTGATAACAGCAGTGGAGGAATTCATAGCATCTTCAGTGTATCATTAAACCATACAAATAACCAATTCACCAGTAAGATTCCTATTCTCTCAAAGTAAGATTTCTTAAGACTGGCACACTCAATGACACTTAAAGACATCAGAACCAGAGGCTGGTTCAAAGCAATCATAGCAAAAAAAACCCAAAACAAACCTAAACCACCACCACTAAAACCAACAAAAAGCACCAAAGCCAAACCAACAAACAAAACCACCTGCCCAAGATATTGTCTCCCCACTCCCCACCCCCTCCCAAAAAAAAACCAAACAAAAACCCCAACCCAAAAAAAAGTCCAAAAGCCAGAAGATCACTGAAGAGAGAAAACATGTCAGATCAGCAGGAAAAGTCACCAAAATTGTGAAGAAGTCATTGGGGTAAACAGCCCTCTTCTATGTGCATTATCTGTACTCAGTCTGAGTCTTCTATCTTAATCTTTTAACAGACCATCTCCAATTTCAGAATTTGAATATATGGCACTTTTATTACGACTTCAGATTCCACTGCTGAAATATTGAATTAAAAGAAAAGCAAGGATGGCTTCAAAACACAACCTTTGCAGATCATTTGGAGAACCTTATATAAACAGTAATTCATACATTCAATGTAATTGCATTTAGCTGTAGAAAAACAACAACAAAAAATATCCTCCCAAAATATCATTTATTGCTTGATTAGTGCCTGAAGTTTCTACCCTACTGCAGTCCTCACCTCACATCTGTGCATTCTTCTAAATGGGAAGCACTTGGATCAGCAACAGATTTTTCACCCATTCATCCAGACCATGGCCTAGATGCTATGCCCTCTTTCACATCATGACAGAAACAAGAGCATTTGTTGTATTTTTGAATGTCCTCATGCCCAGGTTCTTTTATCTCCTTCCCTCTCCTCTGTCCTGCCAGAAACAAACATTCTTCAACACATAAAATAATGTGCTAGATCTTTTTTTCATTATATATTTAGCACTTCTGTTACATAGTTGTATTATATTTAGTCTAACATTTTATTTTATCCATTAGAATTAGGTGGAATCTTTAACTACACTGAGGATACTGATTAAATTCACACAGATTTTAGCATTTGTAATTTATTCCTGAATTGGCACAAACCCAAAAAAACCTTAGACCTACTTCCCTCTAGCATGCTTTCATCATTCTAATTGCTACATAACAAATGCTTAGGAAATTGCATTGCTACCTTGCTATTCTTTATCCCATTTCAATTACATCTTTTGCCACTCACACGTTCCATATATTTATGGTTTTGACACAGTCACAAATTATCTGAATATACTCAGCCGTATCACACACAAGATCTGCCATTAGAGAGGCAGGTGCCATCAGAATTTTTGAGGCAGCAATCACCACAGATCCCAAGAGTACTCCCAAATAATAATACATCTGTTCTCTGAAAAGAAAGCCACCCAGGTGACTAACTGAGAAGACTGAATCCCCATGACAGTGCAGCAGGGAGTGAAGTCCAAATTTTCTTTAGAAAAATGAGTGAGAATCCAGGATAACAAGTCACAAAATCAAGTTTCTAAGCAAGCAATTTTTGAGCCACTGTCACTGTCTTGAAGACCATCACTCTGGTGTCAGCAAGATGGAAATTTCATCTATGGGTATTTCTTTAAGAGCCACCAATAACACCTGAGTACCAAGGTGCAAAACACAGGAGGTGTATCTGCAGTTGTCACGATTACAGCCACTCGGATAGTTATGAATAGACACACTGTTTCACACACAGAAAACACACATCTCACTGATGCTGTAAGATCAGGCCAAATTCTGAAATGCTTTTGTCTGTTGTTCTTTGTGAGAAACTTCTATACATTCTATTCATTTCATTTCATTTCTTTCATTTCATTTCATATAATCCTTGACCCTCTTCAATGCCTTAACACTATTTTTTTTCTTTCTTCTCTTCTTTACTCACCCAGCAACTGCATCAGACATTAGTTTAAGTGTCAGCTAAACAGCAGCGCTAAAGCAAAGGCTGTTGGCCATACCCCATTTTGTCTCTATTGAGTCCTAACCCTAGGTTCAACTATGGAAAACAATCAGGCATAAATACAAAGATAGTGTAAACCACCTACATTTGCTGCCTTTTACATAATCATGTTCAGACAGGTTCAATTATTAAATTATTGCATGTATGTGGGAGTACATGCAATTAGAGAATTATTCTTGTGGACTTCCTGTTTTAACAGCAAGACAACATACTGCAAGTTAGACAGCCTGTAAGACCAGAACCTATCATGCAATTCTTCACCTGCTTGCTCTAAAATAAAAGGACATTAGGTCCATTTAGGTCAGAGCCATACTGGTGTGAAATACATGGGAATTCAAGATAAAAAACACTACTCATTCTGTTATTCATTCTTTAATACACCTGCTTAAACTGGCATGAAAAATGTGGTAAAAATGAAATATTTATTTAGAGAACATGGTCACTATAAAGGAACATGATAAAACACAGGAAATTAAAACACAGTTATAATTTTAATG